GTTTTATTTAGATTACAAAAATAAATCGTAATAAAAATAATCCTATTTATGATGTTTTAAAAAATAAGACCTACGAAAGACTGATTTAAGACATTTTAATACCAATTAAGGCCTTAGTTTTATTTTGAAGAATTCAATGCCTTTTAAGACTTTTTAAGGACCCGCGGGAACCCTGATAGTGGAAAAACTGAAAATCTTCTTTTGGAAAGCTAGCTTGTATGAGCGATGCAAACAGAGACTTTGAGACATCGTGCACGAGGAGAAATGGGCTTATGCACGCTCTCACATGCGTTTAATACGCATTACGTGTCGGGAGCGGGTACAGGGTTCTGCATGCGCATTTCTATTATTTTTTTAAAGTGGAGAGGATGAGTCTTTTTAAAACTTTGCGAAAATCCTCCACTTTACCTTTAATGGCAACAAGGATGCAGGATGAACTTTATGTGGTTCTGTTAGTAAATATAAACACTGGATGAACTCCTTCAGTTATCGCCGTAAATAGCTCCTATTTGCCGTACCGCATGACGGAGAAGCATAATATCTGCTGTCTTTGAAAGGTGATGTGAAACAAAATATTTCTAGCATGATAGCATAAGACATGCGACTAATTAGCATAATAGAAAGGAAAGACTTTTGTGATTCAATGCATGGAGTGGAGTTTTAACATTCCTCTGAGAGCAACCAGAACAACCTGTTTAAAATTGCTGCTAACAACACAGTCACTTAGCATTGACTGATGGATTACAGTAAAAACCAAGAGCTCTATCCCAGTTAGTGTCCACTTTATTAAAATAAAAAAACTGATCGCATAGCTGCGATCACTACGATTTCCCATTTACTTTAACTGGTTTTAAACCATGACTGCTTGAAACTCTCTGAGAAGTTTTGGGATTTTTTGGGCCCAATTTCCAGGGTTCTTCTTTGCATTACGGACTCTGCTGCTTCATTGATCACCACAAGCTGATGTAATCTAAGAAGTTAGTGAAGATTTTGACCTTTCAGTGGAAACTCAAACAAGCAGAGGGCCACCGAAGATAACAGGTTCCTGGAAATGAGGTTTCGGGCGTAGGAACTTTCTGGGTCAAAGAGTCTAAATGGTTTCTGCAGTGGAAATAGTGAGGGAAGCAGAAAGACCCCCTAAAACCAACCTGGGTTTTTAATAGTGTTGCACCGATACCAGTATCGTGCAGGGTCCTGATCCAGCACTAAAATGTTGGCATTGGCGAATACCGACAAATAGGGCACTGATATCAAACGTTTATTCAACTATTGTATCCCATTCCAGGTAGGCAATAAAAGGTTCTACTGGATTCACTTTATATTAGTCTTTTTCCTGCTTCATAAAGGTAGGCAGCAGCTTGACAAAGCCATGATGGCAATTATTTTACATCCAAGTAATACAGGGTTTATACAGGAATGAATAACTCTAATTTAATGCTTTTTAATGTTCTTTTAATGCTCTTAGAAATAATTTGAATGCCATCAAGTACCAATGTCTCTCTCTCTCTCAATATATCTATATATATCTATAGATATATATATCTATAGATCTATAGATACATATATCACGGCAAAATCCTTCTTTACCGTCGGCAGGCTGCAGCCATGTCCCGAATTCCTCGTTTTCCAGCCCCTTTTGTTGAAATTTGCATTTCCCATTCTCTAGCTTTTTCTCTGCCTCGAGCTTCTTTTCCGAACATACGGCTTTACGATCAACGGGAAGCAGTTCCACGCAAACACGCGGAACCATTTATATCTGATATAATAATAATGGCACTATAATAATTTAATGACTTTTAATGACCCGCGGAAACCCAATAGTATGCAGTTCTTTATATCTAAGGCCAATTTATGCTCTTGATGCATAGCCTCTGCAACAGTCAAATCTGCCTCAGTGCTTCGTTTTTCACTTATTGGATGGTCGCAAACCTGCGCAGACCTCGAGCGGAAGGTGGCAGACAAAAAGCAGCTGTGATTGGTCCTTGGTATGCCTGTCTGTGTGGTCGTCCTTCTCGATTCAGTTCCAGGGCGCACTATTTTTAAAAACCGAGGAACAACTAAATTGGA